ATATATATTTACTGACGAGCAAAAGAAAGTGGGCACCCTACTTACTGTGTATTATTTCCGATCTTTACCGTAGTAATGACGTATTGCCAATGGATTTTGAAAGGCTTCCCATTTTTTCATTAAGGGCAGACAAAAAAACTAAGAAAAACGATCAAAAACACACTTTTTATTAGAAACTCAAAACACCGATTCGAATGTTCAAAATCCCCAAAATAGTAACGGGTGTAACTCCCACCAACATTGATGACTACAGTACATCTCTGCCTCATTTAATTGCACAAGTCGTTGGATAAATTGCTGGAGATATAATTCCAAGCATTCGTTATTGATTGTTGCAGTTGTGGGGTTCTCTGGGTAACAAAGGCACGCGTGCTGGTGCGTTGTTCCGCTGGACCGCAAGATTGTTCCTGTGGCGAGCCAGAAACGACAGAAGGTGTGGAGAACGTCATTGGTGTATCTCTGGGCAGTCAGATTACCGTCGATAATGACTAGGTCGAATTCATCAGTACTGGTTATGGATTCCCTTATCATAATGCTACGTTTGTCAGGAACAGTACTGACACATTGAGGTAAATAACGTTTATGACGTCTCCGGTAGGCTTTCTGCCTTCCAGAGTGGCGATCCGAAAGAAATCTGGACTCGTCAGAAAATATCACTCTATTCCACTAGCGGTTTAGCCTTCGCCGGTGCAGACGTGTCAAGTTGAGTCAGGAATGACGGTGTCTTTCGAGGAGACGAGTGCGTCGAGCTGGGTGTCGGGCAACGATTCCGTGGGCTTTCAAGCGTCGACGAACGGTGAAGCGGCTGATTGTTCTATACCCAGGCCAATCTCTGGCAGTTTTAGAAGCTGTTTGAAACCGATCCCGCAAGTGTTGAACTCTGATGCGATTGTCTTCAACAGCAGTAGTGACACGAGGACGACCAGACCTTGGAGTGTCACTAACCGAACCACTTGCTTGGAAGTGTATCCTTAGCTTTTGGATCGTATCTCTCTTCACATTGAAAGCTCTAGCGACAGAAGAAACCGTTGCATTAGCTCTCAGCGTGCCAAGAGCTTCAAGACGTTACGCATCACTGAGACGAGGCATCGTATAAAAAAAATTCAAAAGAACTAACCCTAAAATGTTGACGGCCTTTTCCCTGACACACGTTGAAGTGTGTAACGAATAAAGAATAAAAGTAAAGACATTTTGTAAACTTTCAAGAAAAAACGAGAAAACATGTTTGAGGCCAAACATATTGTAAACATTTTTTACAACAACAAAATAAACAAATGTTGTTCTGACCGACTTTCTAATGTCACTCAAGCTCAGCATGTCAATCGCTTAGTCAAAATTCGCGAGACTACTCATACAGCACCAATTTGAAAACTGCCCACTTTCTTTTGCTCGCCAGTATATATATAT